ATACTTTATAAGACTATCTTTAATAAGAATAATCATCATATAAAATGAGTATAAAATAATCATCATATAAAATGAGTATAAAATAAATATAATATAAAATGAGTATAAAATAAATATAATAACAAAATAAATCCTTAAAAGATCGGAAAGGTTCCTTTTTGAGCGAGTCCAGGAGCATAACTTAAAGTTGAACAAAAAATAAATATTCAAATAATTTAAAGTTGTCTTTTATGTATCTTCCAGTGATAGAAGTACTATAATTAAAAAAATGATAGAAGAGCAATACGTGTGTGTGTGTGTAGTTGTGGTACCTTAATTTACGAAATAACTAATTAAACATTAACAAAAACAAATGGCATGTCAGTCATGTAACGTATGTACCTAAGCAAATGAGATGCCTTTGCCTTTGATTACTTTGGTTGCCATTTTCCGGTTTTTGAACGTTTATACAAACATCATCAGTGGTTTCAATGGTAGGCATTGGTTTTATTTGTATGCCTATCAAGATAAGAACACAAGCCCACTTATATATTAATACGATACGATACATAAACTAGTTCCTTGATGCAAGATTTTTCTATTGCTGTGTCTAATAAGAATAAAAGAAAATAGAAAGCTCAATTAGGACAATTTAAAACAAAGAGAAAATGAGAGCGTTACTAACCGTCATAAATCCATTGTTCCCAGAAACTGAGCAAGCTTCCACTTAAGAATGCAGAACTCAGACCAGCTAGTTCATTTAAAGGTGTTTCCTCGTAGTACTTTTTAGCAATGGCTAACTTTGGATTGCGCTAAATTAAATCCCACACAATATCTACATATTGCAAAGTGAAAGAAGAATAAAATTGTTTAGAAATAACCTCTATATATCTAGTTATAAAAATTAGTGTAATCTCAACATTATTAATATACAGAGGTTTTATAGTATTTATAGAAGGAAAAAAAAAAATATTAAGGCGCCACTAATAATAATTATCATTTGAATGTTGATCTTACCAAATCTTTTGAACTTAAAACCCGTAGATAATAAGTGTAGCGCAATCAGAATCGTTCAGGGTTTCGCGCGGAGTGACAGAATAAAGGTATTGAGCCATTTTCTCTCCTCCTTCATAACCCTAAGCCGCGAGAAGTGGGGTGGTTTTGCCGGTCATAAGTGGGTTGATTTTCTCGGGAGGAAAGACAATACTGAGCAACTTCTTGTTTTTTTCAACCATGCATTTTGCTAGTTCGACGCTTTCTGGAATTAAGTGTATAACAAGATGAAGAGCGGTTAAACCGAAATGGCTTTTTATTTCCAAGTCTTCTGGTGCCATTAAGTTCACCAATTTTTTTGCATCGTCCACCTTCCTACCCAAGACTGCCTTTTGAAGAATTGTCTCATTGTATCTGCTAAGTCCTGCAGTTACTGCCTCGGGATGGTTGTTAAGAAACTCCATTGCAGCATCCCAATCATTATCCGCCAAGCTCAACAAAGTTTGATTAACGTGGTTGTCTTCGTGTCCTGCCAAGCTAGCTAACGTTACATATATTCCCCATAATGTACGTAACATATAGTTGTTAACCTCATCACCAAACGAAAAACATATACACTATATACTTGTTACAGATTTTTCTTATTCTTCTTAATTTTAATTATTACGGATTTTTCTTATTATTCTTAATTTTATTGTATATAAAGTGCTTTTGTTCTTGTTTACTATTGAATACCGTCAATTTTTCTATGTTTTAATAAGAATCCAAAGTTGAGAGTATCATGCATTTATTTTTGTCCTTGTGAAAAGAAAAATAAACGACTATTTTAGAATGCAAATAACGATGTAGAATTTGAAAGCAGTTTAATCAATAAATATTGAACGGAAGTCTTTGTGAGAATTAAAGACATAATACCAGAATCTATTGTTGACCATTCCTCGGGCTCTACATCAATAGTGGTTGGGTCGTTATTCATGTGATCGTTGGATATCTTCTCTGAAAAATGAAATCCTTATGTTTATATCACATCATTCACTATTGGTTAGTATATTTCTTCCTTTTCTTTTCTTATTTTTGTTGTCTAAATTGAACTCTACTAAGGATATATCTGATTCAATTGAAAAAAAACCAGGCCAAAGCCAAAATACTCGCACAATTGACCAAAAAAAAAAAAAAAGATGTCTTTCTTTTTAATGAATATGCAACCAAAAAAAAAAAGTCAAATATTAGTGGCTTTTCCTTTTGGTCTTCATGCCAAATAAATTGGATGAGGATCCTCTTCAAATCCTCATTGTGAGGATCCTAGAAATCATTTTATCGTGTTCGTTCATCGAATATCATGCAGTCAGTTTTCATCAATTACTGTTTTTGTTCAATTTTAAATAAAAATTTAAAATAATTTCTGACCACATGATGATAGATAAACAAACACGATGAAATGATCTCGGGATCCTCACAAAGAGGATCCGGATAGGATCCTATCCGAAATACATTGGGCTCACTCTTAACAAAGCAATGTATAATATTAACAGTTTCGTTCATAAGAACATTCTGTAAATCAGCCGCGAAGTATTTTGAGAAAAACTTCTCCTCATTCTCATCCTGTGAGGATCCAAGTTAAATCCAAAGACAAATGCCTAACTATATGGAAAAGGCGAAGGTGCACTTACCGGTTCCTGTGGCTTGGGATGCTTCAGCTGGCTTCAACTTTTCTGCCAAAATATCCCATGCAACTTTGGCTGTGCTGGCGCCCATAAATAAAAGGAAAAGTATCGGCCCCACAAGAAATCTGGATGGAGTTCAAAGCCTTGGCATTACTCTTCCTCCAAGCTTTAAATTCAACTTCACCATGTTCTCGTTCAGGAGGCTCAGTGGTCGCTTCCACAACGTTCCAAAGATCTTCTACCAACAAGTAGGTTCTAACTTGCAAACTCCATTCTTCACAGTTACTTTGGTTTAGGAGTTTATAAGCAATTAAACTTGGGATAATTGTGTCTGTCATCTTCAATCTGTAAATTTATCAAATATGAATTTAGTGGCGGAGTAAGAAATTTTAATAAGAAGAGTCAATCTTAAGTGACGATAAAATTATGATAATTTGAGTTTATAAATGAAAATTAATAGAGAATGATCATAAGTATCAACTTATTTAGCATAAAAAAAATTCCAAGTTTCCAAAGTTAATATCGTTATGATTTAATTAATTGCATTATAGCAGATGACGTTTTACAACATCAGCGAAAAACAATCATGCCTATGAATTTTGGTGCGAATTTGAATAAATTAACTGGATATGAGTAGGAGGACATGAAATTTAATATCTTTTATTTGATTAAGAGGCCAAGAATGATAATATGAAATTAAGTGTTGGACACTCAAGTATGAGCAAACTACACTTGTGAGGAAGGTCAACTATAAATATAGAAGATAAATTACATCAATATAGCACATATAAATACAACATTTTCAAATCGTGAGAAGGGTCATTTGATTGGACCTTGGTACCTTCCTCTCCTCACCAAAATATTGTTGGCTGCAAATGGGTGTTCCGGATTAAAAGGAAACCTGATGGCACGATTGATCGTTACAAGGCTCGCCTTGTAGCCAAAGGATTTCACCAGCAAGCAGGTATTGATTTTACAGAAACCTTCAGCCCTGTTGCCAAATCAGTCACCATTCGCATTTTATTAACCCTTGCTGTCCAAAATGATTGGTTTCTCAATCAGTTGGATATTAGTAATGCGTTTCTTCATGGTTCACTGCAAGAAGAGGTGTTTATGCAACAACCTCCTGGTTTTGTTGATGCCTCTCAGCCTTCTTTTGTCTGTAAGCTTAATCGATCTCTTTATGGCTTAAAACAAGCCCCTCGGGCTTGGTATGATAAACTTGGTCACACCTTGCTCTCTCTTGGCTTTGCTAATTCTCAATCTGATTGCTCTTTGTTTGTGCGCACCTTTCCTTCTCTGGTGATGGTCTTGGTGTATGTTGATGACATACTTGTCACCGGTCCCAATGCCTCTCATTGTCAAGCTTTTATTCAAAAGCTCAGTACCTTGTTTCCTGTCAAAGACTTAGGACCTCTCCATTATTTCCTTGGTCTTGAAGTACATCGATCCTCTGACGGTATATTCATGTCTCAAGGCAAATATGTTATGGATCTTCTTATTAAGACAAAAATGGAAGGATGCAAGCCTTGTGTCACTCCTCTTGGTACTACCAAATTAGATCACATTGGAACTTTGTTGCCTGATCCAAAGGAATACCGGTCCATAGTTGGTGCCCTTCAATATCTCACCTGGACTCGGCCAGATCTCTCCTTTGTTGTGAACCAAGTATGTCAGTTTCTTCATTGTCCTCATGACACTCATTTTCAGGCAGTTAAACGAATTCTCCGGTTTCTCAAAGGATCTGTTGATCAAGGCATTTGGTTCAAAAAGGGATCTCTGCACCTAAAAGCTTTCTCGGATGCCGATTGGGCTGGATGTGTTTTTGATCGACACTCTATATCTGGCTATTGTATTTACTTAGGTCCCAATCTTATCAGTTGGAGTGCTAAAAAGCAGCCAACTGTTGCACGCTCTTCAACCGAGGCCGAATATCGCTCTCTTGCTCTTACTGCTGCAGAACTTACATGGATTTGCAAGATTTTCAACAACATTACTTTCTCTCTTTCTCATCCTCCTACACTGTGGTGTGACAATGTTTCTGCAATATCTTTGGCTTCCAATCCTGTGTTTCATGCGCGCACAAAACATGTGGAGATCGATTATCATTACATCCGGGAGCTTGTTCTTGCTGGTTTAGTCAAAGTGTTATATGTTCCCACTGAAAACCAGATTGCACACATCCATACTAAGTCACTGTCCAAGGCACGATTTCATTTTCTTCAATCCAAGCTTTCTCTGGGTTCTCCTCCGATTAGCTTGAGGGGGTGTAAAGGGATAAGTAGTCATAGCTAACAGCTTGTACAGCTGTCATTTACAGATGTAACAGTTTTGCAACTAATCTCTGTATTAGAGACCTAATTATGTATAAGTAGGTACTAAGCTTTATTAGAGACCTGTATATATATTGAGTTGTAATCCTTACACATTAAGTAATGAAATACAAAGAGTTATTTTCTTATACAGCTTGCCTGCACAGATAGAGAAGTGATACACATTTAAGCAAACATAGCATATCCAATCGAATAATGTGAACATTCGGCCGCTCACTTCAAAAGTGGTTTTACCAAAATCTTGGTCTTGATAGATTTAAACTCCAAAACTAATCCGAAACAACATAGTATCAAAAGGCGCAATTTACCTTTTGAAAATCGTTTTCCTCTTCAACCTTAATAATATCCGTTAAATGGTCAATCAAATTCAGCTCCCATGTACTTTTCTGATTAATTTCCTGCACCAAACAGATCAAAATCGAACATTTTAAAAAAAAAAAAAAAATCACAACAAACATCAAAATCTAATACACTAAAAATGGCTCCCTCATTTGACAAATAAAATGCGAAAACTATTGATAACTTTTTGTTAAAAAATTTAGTTTCAAAACTTTCAATTACTTGAAAAATCTAAACCGACATTTTCACTGACCAGTTTGATGCAATTCTCGAATAGCTCGAGGATCTGCGCCTTTCCGAGGCCGGGATCGGGGTCTCCCTGCTGGCAGGAGATTGAGCGCAACGGACTTCCTTCCAATCGCGGCGGCGCGTGCTGCGCGAGCCTGCGCACGCTCGCTGTGGTCGTCGTTGCAGCCGAGGAAGAAGGGGCTGGTTGGAGGCTGGAGACGAGCGGCCATTGGGAGCCTCTGCTTCTGGGTTGCCAGATTAGGGCTCCGAGTGTAGGCCATTGCAATCGGGAAAATCGAATTGGGAAATTAGGGTTTGGAATTGGGAAAGTTTACGAGAGTTGGGGAGCGTTTGAGAAGGATACTGATGGGACGAACAGGTTCCCTCCATTTCATGTGTGTTAAATATTTTTTGGGGGTTTTGAGAGGGTATAATACGATGCTTCTCGTGCAGGATACAAACATCCATTTTCTTTTGTTGACCAATCTATGACCGTCAATTTTACATCCATGTTTGAGAGCTGCCAAGCTGGCATTTCGAAAAGGAAAATTATATTCACACATTCTAAATTACTTTTTCCACATTTTTTTTAATTTTTTAATATTTTTCTATTAAGTGTTAGTGATGTGTAGAAAATATTAAAAATTAAAAGAATGTAGAAAAAGTAATTTAAGATGTATAAATATAAACTCTCTTTCAAAAAAGTTATTCAATACCAAAATATATTGATATAATTACTTTTCACTCCTGTAATAAAATATCACATGCAAAAGAAAGAGGGATGCAATGCAAAGAAGAGTAAATGTTCAAACACGTACGTCAATGTCTTTTCATTACAAAGTCCTTCGTTACAACCAGGGTGCATTTGCTTTTATAATACAGGATCCAAACAATATTTCATTACAAGATTCAAAAAGAAAAAATTCGTAGCAACTCCAAAACTAAGAAGCATCATTTATCACGCTAACACGAGGCCAATTATTTAGGTGTCACAATAAGTCTAGGCCACATTTTTATTTTCCTGTCAAACACGCCTGCTCCATAAGTAGAAATGACTAACTCAAGAAGCAAGGGAATTTGCATCCATATGAAAGATGCAACTGGAACACTTGCAAGCAAAGTAACTAGAATGGCAATAGATGACTTTCCATGAAGCATAATGGAAAGGGCTGAAGAGAAAGCTATCATCATCGCAACGATAGATAAAAAAAAGGGTGATAAGGCTTAATATCATTTTTGTTGGTAATGATTTGAGGAAATCTTCTTCGGCATAACACGATATGAGGATTTCCAAAAATATCATTACTGAAGTTGTGGAAGAAAAGAGTGATATAGCATCTGAAACTATAAAAGTTTTCAATGCCCTCTTACTTAAGAATATAGGAAGACCTATATCTTGATTATTTCCACAAGAACTGTAAATGCTGCAGCAAACGTGATAATAACAATGAGAGCTCCTATGACTGTACAAAATGTTGTTGTTCCTTTCATTGCCTTTTCACCCGCTTTCACCATTTCATTGTGACCCTTGGTAAATAATTCACGTGATGTCAACTTATCTGTATCATTAATTGCATCAAGAGCTGAGGCATTTGACAAATGCTTCACCTCCTGCATGTCATTCAACAAAAACTTAGAAGGGATGTGACCACATACATCCGAATTCTGATCTCTTGTTACAAATTCATTCAAGTTATGAAGGAATGGACCACAAATATAAAATAGTTTTTGAATTCCTCATAAATTTTAATTATATAGAAGAGAGAAAACGGTGAATAGGAGTGTTCGGGCAAAGATTTCTCTTGAAGAAGGCTCCTTGGACCTATGCATAGCTCCCCAAGGGATTAGCACTTTGATGTATGTATTTGGTAGTCGGGCCCTTGCTTGCCTTGTGTGCTGCAATAAGAGCTTAAAGTTAGTTCTGAAAGGTGGCTTTGTGGGGCCTTATGTATAGGCCTTGAGACTCGCAATCAAAACTAACTAAATGCTTAGGCGTGCCACTACTATCTCAGTATAGTAGATGTAGAACAAGTATGTTTTAAGTCGATTACTTGTCCCCCAAGTTATTCAAACTTCTTGTTATCAAAGGATTTTCATGGATGGGATAAGTCCACATTAAGTTCTTTTTCTTGCCTTGTAAACAAGGACTTTTAGTTTATGATCTTATATGTTCGAATGGAGGGAGTCCAGAGCCCCTTAAATCATTTGTTTAGATCCAAATTGCTCTTAATGAACACATATCCATTAAGTTAACCAGATTCAGATGTAAATGGGACTCTCAAAATAGAAAAGCAGGTGTCAATGACTTGAATACATACTGAAAAGTAAACTAAGCAATAAATCAACTAATTTAGAGAACAAACAAAGAGATTCGAGCAAGATTTCACTTTGTCTGGCAAGGTTGAACCTCTTGCAGCCACTTATCTTTGCGTTTACAAGGGTTGTATGCAAAAAAGGAATGGATGGTAAATAGGTTTACACGAGGGAATCGATACTACACCACTAAGGGAGGTAACATAGCTTTTTATACTAGACAAGAGAGATAGCTTTTCTAAAGAACTATCGCTAAAAAGACTGAATCTGGGATGATTTCAGCTTTTGGATGCAAATCTAAACACCCCCATCCTGAATCTTTTATAAAACAAAACAACATGGAAAATTTCAACAATAAATATTTTTTCATACCAAAAACGAAACATTTGAAGTAAATGTTTTACTTTGAAATTTCAACATTGGCTTAGTTCAAACAGTATTATCTTACTTTGAAATTTCTCCCACGGAATGTGACTACAGTGTTCATAGATGACTGTTGTAACTTGTAGAGTAGACATTAGGTGGACAACTCTTTGACTATGTCATTAGACACATTACAAAAGCTTACTTTCCATGACCTTTGCATGTAACTTACAAATTCCCAACTACATTTGTCATTTGTGTGTCCTCAGCTTTCATTGCGTAACCACGTTTCCGATTGAAACATTAACCAAATCCAAAAAAAAAAAAAATGTGACTCTCTCTCTCTCTCTATGGCTTTCTTACCACACAAAAGGTTAAGTTATGCCCCACATAAAAAAATAACAACAAAAAACAGAAGAAAGGCACTATATTTGTACCAGCCAAGGCCAGAAAAAAAAAATTAACGAACAATCCAAAAAGTAGCCAAACACGCTTCACCGATATGCATCATGAAACACATTTTAAGCTATCTGGATAGACTATCCAACAATACTCTGATTCATTGTTGCAAATATGCCTCTATAAAAAACACAAAACGTTGAATTCCATCACCTTGTTGTTATTGACCTCTTTCTCAGTCGGAATTGTCGGAGCTTCGGAATCCAACTCATCGGCCGGAACTGTGGCAGAAGAGACCGTCGATCAGGACCACATCGCCTTCAAGCACCTGCGGCTAGAGCTGCAGAGGAGAGTCAGAATTATAATATATCATACTGAGAACAGTATTGAATTCAATTTTGCAGAATTATTTGAATTCAAGAAATAACGTTCGTATAACATATCAAGAAGCTAAACAGAATTCTCCTTGTGAGGGAAATCCAAATAATGTTCTAGATATACAATTTGTTGGTCTAATTCGACAGAATTCCATCATCTTAAAAGATGGAATTATATAGTTACAAACACCAAAGTCCAGATTTTCAAAGTTTTAACCTTTTAAGTGAACTAAGTGTCCATGGCTTACAAATCTACAAAACATTGAAAATTACGCACCAGAAATCTACCCGGAAAAAAAAAAAAAAAAAAAAAAAACCCAAACGGTACCTGCTTGGTTACACGTCATAAAATCAGAATATTCATGGCCATGAGCAGAGGCTTCTTGGAATCGAACCGTCCTACTGCTTCAATTCAGTGATCTCGCCAAGCTGGGGGACTGAAATTAGAAAAGAAAATTTTAAGTCCCTGCAGGTCGTAATCGGCGAGAGAGTTTGGGTGGTGGGACGTGAGGAAATTGGGTGAGTTGCCGTCTACAAGAAGAAGAGAGAGAGTTTGTGTGATGGGAGAAAATTGGGTGGTGGGAGGAGGAGAGAGTGTTTGGGTGGTGGCAGGTGAGGAAATTGGGTAGGTTCGGTGAGAAGAAGAAGATTGGGCTTTTGTAGGTTCGATGAGACAGTTTATTTATTTAATTTTTTTTGTTTGGAGAAATCGGTGAGACAGTTTATTGGAGTTGGAGAATAAGAAGAAGAAAACACTTAAAAAATAAGAATGTGATTGTGTAAATCCTAGGGAATTTAGGAAAGTATTATATATTCCTATTAGGATTACATTATCTATTAAATGTTGTAATCCTAAAGGGAAAGGTTTTACCCTTTCTAGTACTATAAATAAAGGCACAATGAGGTGAATCAAACACACTTCACAATTAAATCAATATCTCTTCTTCCTAAAACTTGCCGCACCCCTCTCTCTCTCTAACCCTAGACCGCTCAATCAAATAGACCTACAATACGTTATCAGCACGCTCTTGTCAGAAGTTGAGGAATTGACGCATCGTAAGAGGAGGATATCATCCACCATATTCAAAGGCTTATTCGTTTTCTGCTAATCAGGTATGCTTAAAATAAAGGAAAATATTTGAAACGTCCACGAAGCATGAAAACATTATCCATGATGCATGAACCCCTCTATGTTTATATTTTCCTTTCGATATATATATATATATATATATATATATATATATTGTATATGTTCATATATTTGTCAATATATATATATTTGTTTCATGCATTGCACAATTAAATTGTTATGTGGAATTTGTGAGTCAAAATATAAAATTAAATTAGAAGCAAATTCGGGTTTTTCTGAAACCCTAGGTTCAAAAATTGGGTATGTTTTTTTGTCTCACCGTGGGATGGCATCACCCTGATGCCCTTGGACTACCTGCGCAGCCCCTGTAGGGTTTGCTGCTCCACAACCATGGGCCTGCAACCCTAGTTTCTGGTCCACAGCCCGCAAGCCTAGCTTGTTGGGCCCCCTGTGTCACGACCTGCATCATCAACAGCCAGCCTATGCGCTAGGCTTAGCTTCCCTTGACCAAGACCCAGGTCCCAGCTTTCGCTGGGCCCACAAGCCAGCGTGTGCTGGGCTTGTTTCCATGCCCCCCTCACGGTCCAATTTCGAAACCAAACTTGCAGCTAGGTGATAGGAGCATATTCATGCGACTTAAATGGCTTGTTCTCGTGCATTTACGTTATGTTTCTTTAGTTATTTTAGTACTTTAAGCTATTTTCGTGTGTTTGTAGGTCCAAAGGGCTAAAGGAGCAAAAAGATGCATTTTGGAGACTTTTGGAGCACTTTTGGGCTAAGGATGGATAGCTTATGCTTGGAGCCAAAGTGTTGGACGAAATTGAAGACC